ACAGACAGACAGACAGACAGACAGACAGACAGACAGACAGACAGACAGACAGACAATCCAAAATCAAATCAACCTTACCTGAAAATTGATTCTCGGTCCTGGTGGTCTTGGAGATGGTACGTCCGTCCTGCACGATCTCCTCCTGAAACGAATGATAGGAATGGCGTTTAGTTTGGGCGGGGGGTCCAGCCGCCTCGGGCTTGTAGCGCGAGGAGAGAATCTGCATGTAGTCACTGCCCGCGGCCGAGCGAGAACGGCGAGACATCTTGGGGACCACCGGGATAGATGCCGGGACTCTTCACCACAAAACACAACACTAGGAACGACTACAGCAAGCAGTCTAATTCACTACAGCACACGATCTAAGAGTACTTGGCTTAACTCACTACAGCACTCGGTCTCAAAGTACTTGGCTTGTGAGGGGAAACAAATTTAAGTAATTCTAATCAGCGGCTGCTCCAAAGGTAAAACGACGGATTCCAAAGTGAAATAGACGTGTAACTCAGAGAAGAAGGCAGGTACTCCAATAGAAGAGCGTGGCTCCTCTTGCTACTTTCTGGCTGCAGAATCAAGTAGGATTCTGTGACTAAAGCGAAACCTACACTACGCAGTGAAAAAAACCTGATGGATCTCTTGCTATCTATTTACCTGCTAAATAAGTGTCACCTATTAAATTGAACCCACTTCACTATCTATAGGAAAGGGCATACGTTTCACGTTCAAATGAAAACATAAATACCATTTCTTCGTCATATCAATACTCTTCTACCCTAATTTTGAATAGGTTTCATCAAACGAGTACTCACATCAATTCAATATAAATGTGTCCAATTAAAAATGTGTTCAATGATATGTTAACAAACTTTCATTCTCCAATTCTATTGAACGTTATACATGTGTGATTGTGAATATATGAAATCATGTACATATTCGTATATTTTGCAAAGACAAATATTGATACAGTATACAATGTACGGTGCACTAAAAAGCAAATAGCAAGCACAGTCAGAAATGAAAATATTTCATAGCACAGCTACTTACAATGAAAGCACTTGCCTTTAGAGCGAGCGAAACAAGAGGTCGTAGCAAAAATTCATTTCATAATGCTGGAAGTAAATTAACTTTCAATGCTAAAAAACTAAACCTGTAACTTCAAGCAAGAGGTTTTAGAATCTCTTCCAAGCAGTAGTCCAAATACGTTTACACAATAGGTAAATAGACGGACACAGTTAACAGGTGGCTTTGAGCCAACCAAAGTAAAAATATTCCGACTACACAGAGCTCTTCGAACTAAACGAGACAGCAGTCTCTGAACTCCCGGTGAGTCACATATAATGGCATGCCACAGTGGAACGGCAACGGAGCAGTCGGTACACAAATCATGTCAAAGTGTGAATTGTAATATATGTGCGTGTCATAATATACGATGTATATATATATATATATATATATATATATATTTATTTGTTTATACCATACGGACAGTGTGCCTTACACACAAGATGACCAACACCACAAGAGAACACTATCAAACTTATACACATTCCAGTGAAAAACGTGCGGAAGACATACACAGGCAGATGTCAAATTATTGCAAGTATTGGTGAGCATACTACTATATCAATGAACGCCGTGACGCGTGCTATACGCTAATGTGAGCATGTGTGCACGAGAGTTGACATGAACGTTTGTGCAGTAGATCGGAGAGCTTTCTAATGCTATGCATGCCTACTATTGAACGCTTTCGATTTGCTTTGTTAAACGATTAACGAGGGCGAAGAATGGAATACTTTTAAAAGTTCGTTGGTAAAAACGTGTGTTTTGGGGAGTTGGAGGGGAGGGGGTGTAGTAGAAGCCCTGTATGTGTGTTTGAGTGTGTGTGTGTGTGTGTGTGTGGGTGTGTGTATGTGTGT